TAGCAGCTGCAAATGCCTGCAGTGATTTCTGTCTGAGCAAAACGGCTCTTCTGTGGGTGACAAAACAGCCTCATTCTATCAGCGCTGTATAAAGGACAATACAACAGGGTGTTGTGGCCGCCGTAACAATAGCACTGAAATTAAAGATGTCAAGAAGCTGGTGGAGGCCGTGTGGAAATGGTTACAGAGGGTTGTGGTGGGATGGCAGGGGGGGTCTGCTGGGTTGTATAGAGCACTAACAGCAGCAGAAGCTACAGGTGAGGCGGATTCATGTCTCCAGTTTCTCTTGGCCCAATTTCCTCCCCTTGCCCCATCTAAGTGTGTGAAAGTTGTGTTGTTAGGGGCATCTCCTCATATTTAGTAAAGTAAACAGTAAATATTGCTCTGATGAGATAACTTGTATGTTTTGATGATAAAACCTGTGGAAATACTCATTTTTATGAGTTTAAAAATTCTAGTAAAGAATAAGTTGATAAATGTATTAAAGGGTGATGGAAGAGTTAAAAAGGCACACCACACAAATTATAAAAAGAGAAAACCAATAAAAAAAGAGAGGAAATGAAAAGCAGCTTGATGCTGGAGGATGATAGGAGTTGCAGTCGTCAAAAAGGCAATCGGTTCAAATAAAAAAAAAGTTGAAGTGAGAAGAAGGAAAGATGTGAGGGACAAGAGAGAGATAGCAGCACACGTGTCACGTCGGGATACCTTTGCGATCAAAGTCTTATGAGGAAGAATCAGAGCTTTATGGATCTGTGTGTGCGGGTGCATGCGTGTGCTGGTTTGCATATTTAGCTCATTATCAGTTTTGACTGCAGTTATTTCCTGTGTGTGTGAGATATCAGAGCTGTGATCTGCCTGGGGGAAGTGAGTGCTGTGAAGAAAATGCTTGAGTTGCAACATATGAGCTGTTTGCTGTGAATGGGTTCAATACTCTAATGCTGTTCAGCTTTGCTCACGACAACCTGATTACTTACATCAACAAACACGAACCCCAACAGTCTTCTTTCTTTTACGAACGTGCTGTTATTTCTCTCACAACTTCCCTTGTTCGTCTGTTGTCCTGAATGACCATCTTAGTGTTTATAAAAGAATGCCTTCAATGAGAGACTAAAAACATTTGTATTGTTATCACTATTTGTACAGTTCACTGCATCTTGCCCTTCTCTAAAAGTCCAACCCACCTTTTTATCAAAATGTTCAAAAAAGCACTTGGAAGGTGGTCTGTTGAATAAGACAAACGTCACATAGTGCAATGGAACACACTTGAATACATCTAGACATACATACATAGAACATATTAATTAATGTCCACTAAAACTTCTGCTCTTCTGAAAAGCTGAAAATGGTGGCAGTTTGTACCCTTGTCAAAACCAGCTGTTATCTCGATGCAGTCGACTCCAAATGTTCGCATAAGAGTATTTGATAGAAACGGCATATTATTTGAAATGTTCTAAATTTGTATGCAAACTTGACTTAAGAAAGCTGGCCTTTAGCCCCACCCACAAGTGTGGACATCTGCAAAAGGTGTGCTTTTTGCTTCCCACATGGTCTTATGACACATCGCACAGAGTTTGTTTCTAGCTAATCCTGGTAACCAGACATATATGGGCCAGGGTAGGTGCAACGTATCTGAGAAATTGTGTCCCTCCCTCCCTCTATCCAGCCCTCCCGGCCTAGATACCCCGCCTCTCAGATTTCCTGAGGGCTGATCCCTGGGCTTTTTGTCAACTGTGTTATAAGATAGTGGGGCCCAGACGCCCAGTCCCAGGGGCCCTAACACACGGGACGTTAGCCCAATGCCTACAGTGTAGCTCTGTGGGGCCGATGTATTTCTGCCTCCCTCGCTCCTGGAACCTCCCTCCTGCTTTCATTGGTGCATTGGGCAGAAGAAAAGAGGTGATTGTTCGGAAACAAGAGGGATGAATTTGTCTGCCTCAGACAGGAGAAGAAAGGCGGTTTGAAAGGGACTTGTCAGTGGTTGTGGATCGGGTGGTTGGTGGGTGTCCCACTTTTCAGAGAATCCACGTTGTGTCAGCATGTTGTCCCTTTTCTGCAGACCCCGGTCTACAGTCATAGTGTGTGTGCCTGTGCTTGAGTATGTTAGTTAGTCTGCACATCTGTGTTTGTGTCTGGTTGCGTCACTGCTCCAGCATATTAACATGAGGATACTCGTGCCCAGATTACTCCTTTTTATCATAATTGATCCTAATCCTAACTGTTTCCTGTCCATGTCCATCTCCCTTTTCCTGTTTTGCTTGGTTTCTCTTAGAGGACACTTTATCTCAAACTGTGGTGTCTACATTATCTCTTATCTTAAGGAAACTACATTTCTGTGGCAAATCTCTATTGATGATGCAACTCAGTGAGAGTATGTCACTGTGTCTCTGTGGACATGAAAGTTTGTGAGTGATGTGTCGTTCATTTCTCCTCTGGGAGACAGATTCTATCGTCTCTCTTTTGACTCTCCTCTTACTATTTTTTGTGCAAATTGGTCCTCAAGAGATCGCTTCAGAGACAACATGCTTTGCGTATCAAACCCAGATCTCACTGAAGCTCGTCCCACATGGCAGCAGAGTCCCATTGGTGCAGATTGGACATATCTCAAATAGTCCTAAAAGAGCGCAGTGTTGGACCATGTTTTTAAAAATGAAATGACTACATCACAAGTTTATTTTTGTCTGGATTAAAAAGGGAATAAAGGTTTAGAGACCCATTTCGTTTTGTTTTCAGGGTCATGCAGAGTTCTAGGCGGTGCAATGCTCCTTGACCCTTCTATAACACAGCAACCTTATTTTATAAAAAGAAGTCATTTATAGCTAACAAAATATATCAGATTTCCAGTAAGTACTTCCCTTTGAGGTTCAAGTTGCAGATGTACTTAGATATCAACAGTGTTAAGACAGATAATACAAACGTTTTCACAGCGCCTGTACTGAATGTATTGATAATACCAGTATGCAGGCCTGCTTGTGATGGATATAACAGTTTATGTACACTGTTCGATAGACTCAATAATAGTTGAGTAGTATAATTAGCTGCATGTAAAGTAATGGGGTTGGCGTCTACCAATCAAACGTTCAGTGGTTCGAGCCCTAACCCCTGCAGTCAATATGTTGAAGTGTCCTTGAGCAAGACACCTAACCTCAAATTGTTTAGGGGACATTTTATATAATTATGTCACCGCTATACTCCGTGGTTCAGGGGAAAGAGACACATCACTACCAATCACAGCTGTTATTTAGAAGGAAAACAAGAACCATGTCAACATAAACAACATATAGGATCATTAACATGTTGCATGTTTAACTGATTTTGGGTCTGATTTTCTGAATTTAAACTTTTCTAAACTAGCCCTGTAGTGCTAAAGCTTAACTTGTGTTTGATCCTGTTTTCACCACTTCCTGTCTTTTAGTTCCGTTGATGCCCTTTGACGTGCATAACCGTAACTTCTGAGGATCCAGAGGTAATGTGGATGAGTTGTTTTCTCTTACTTTTGGTAGACCCTGGCTCGCTTCATCATTATTAGGCCTCTGAACTGGGTAAACTCTGCTCCTTCCCACTTTCATCTCCTTTATCACTGTCTCTCTGCTAACTCACTCCTCTGAAGTCTCTTCTGGCCTTGTTCTCGATTCCTTTAATTGAGTTTGGTAGAAAAACAAATGGTCTAAGGAGGGGGTGCTTGTGCAAATGTTAAAGCTGTAAATCTCCCTGGTTATTTAGGATGCCCACCCAGTCCCCAAACTCCTCCTTTTCAAAGTTCCTCAGAGAGGTTCACCACGAAAAGACACTTGGCTGCTTTTTATCTCCTCTTTATGGGGGAAATCTCATTCTGTTATATCGTCTGGGAGGACATGACATTTTAAAAGGGTCTGTGAATAAGTCTGAGTGCGGTGTGGGGGGGCCTGGGAGAATGACAGAGTAAGTGCTTCCAGGGTGAAAGGTCAGGGAAGTCTTGAGAGGAGGCTGCATGCTGCACTTGGGTTGACCCGTTACTGTGTGTCATCTCAAGGCCCACAGCCTCAGGGCAGACACAAGCATCACAACACAAGAATGGAACACTTTGAGATCATTTTTGTTAGTTTTTCTTTTTACCAATTACCTGTATTACTGCTGAACCATTTCCATATTATATCACTTATTATTTACCACCACAACATTTTTAATTCACCCTTTAAACCAGCTTGAGATAGTTACCTTTTATAACATTGAATTTGTGTTATACAGTATGCGTCATAGTTTCACTCATGTTGTGCGTTACTACAGTTACAAAATATGACATAATTTAAAAGGTTTTTCACTGCACTGCCACACAATGATAATCGTGACAACCAACTCTATGTGATTCTCATTGTGATTCATTCTTTCAAGATAGTTTGTAGCGTAATGTTTATGACAATGACAGGAACTGATGTAAAAGAGGAAACCTACATTTAGGTTTTAGGTTAATCACATAACAAAAAAGGAAAGTGGTCAGCCGCGGTCTAAAATATAGGTCACACCGTTAATAGGTTGTCAAAGGAAATGTCTTATGTCACAGTAACAATAGCATTATGTAACAGATGATGAGAAGGTCAATTTCGTAAGAGTATTATCCAATGAGCAGATGCAACTGGTTAAGTAATTGTGGGAGACATATGGCTCAACCTGCTCAATTTCTGTCAACAACACTAATCTCCACTGCTCAGTGAAGTAACCTGTTTATCAGAAAATGGTGGTTCAGGTCAACATGGGTTACAACAGTTACATTGAATTAATTACTACTTTTGTATTGAAAATTATTGAAAAGGTTGTTCTGAAAGGAGAGGCTACAAATGACTTATTATGCATCAAACTACATTATGAATGCGACCAAAGCCCCTCCATGTACCAGTCAGACAATAAACACAAGTCTTTGTTTGTTGGATAACTACCATAGCAGAATTTGTTAAGGAAGATGTTGCAGTAGAAGTTTGTATAATCCCTCCAAAAGAAAATAAGTATTCTCAGTCATCACTGCAAGTTGTATATGGTTTCTTTATTATCAACAGTATGCAATGGCAACCAGGTTTTTTAGCTTTTTGTGACAGGTAGCATACAGTAAGCATGGATACTCTGACTCTGGCAGTATGGTAGAAGAGTAGATCAAAGGAATGATATACTGATAGACTAATAGAAAGTTGTACAATACATAGTTTATTTCCCTCGTTCAGCTGCAAAGGTGTTCTTTACATTAGCACCGCCTGAAGGTAGAGTGGTTTATACCCAAAGAACTCTTAGAGGAATAGGCTGACATTTTGTGAGCTATGCTTGAACATGTTCATGCCGACCTTTCAATGGAAATGTTCACACCACTCTTGTGTCTGCACGGTTAATATGTATCGAGAGCCAGCAGGCAGTTTGATTAGCCCATGAAGAGTGGAAAGAGCTAGCAGGCAGCTTAAAAAAAGATATGACTAAATCCATCATTAAGCACCTCCGAATTGTATTTGTTTCATTCATGCAAAAACAAAGTTTAAATGCATTGCCTTTTGGTTTTATGGAGGCCTATATGTTGGTTTACTTCTTGGTCCCGGCACAGTCACTTTTGGGCTTTAGCTATAAGTCTATAAGAAGTTATAGATTGTTGTTGTTGCATTGTCTTACCTTTGGACAGAGACAAACAGGCTTATTTCCTGTTTTCAGTCTTTATGCTAAGCTAAGTTTCATATTTACCGTGCAAAATGAGAGTGATGTCAACCTTCTTTACGTGCAAGAAAGCCTATAAGCATATTTCTCAAAATAGACATAAACAGAGATGTATAGAAAGATAGAGATAATTTGATGCACAGAATATAAATTGAAGATAATTGTAAATGTAAAAAAGAGGTGTTACTGACATTAAACTAATGGTGCCTTCATGAAGAGGGTTATTTGTATGTTTTCGGCATGGTAGCTTGCTCTAGTATGACATGTAGGAGATCAAAATGAGCCTAATACATTTCTGTATATGTTCTTACTATGAATACTTAATTATTCATCATTGAATAGAAGGAGCAGATGAAATAATAAACTTGATCTTTTTATTTCTTACATATAAATGTTGACCAGCTCAAAGAAAGCGCTTCAGCTAAAAATATATTCATAACTGGGATAACAGTATCCATATTATGCTTCAGGGGATATAGTAAAAGAAAGAAAATCAGTGAAAATAAATTATCTGAATAACAATAACAATTATAATAACAATAATTATAATAAACAGTGTCAAATTAGTATTCATAAACAATTGTTGTTTACTTTCTTTTTTTGTGAAAATTCCTTTAAAACTGTCCATAAGCAAAAAAATCCAGCATATTATCATTTAATGTTTCAAAGGTGATTTCCCTTGCTGGGACGTCCCCTCCGTTCTTACACATTTACAATATTCACAGTTAATATAAACCTGTTGGGCACATACTGAGCCACACTGCAGTCAGCCCGGCTGTCAGTGCGGACAAAACTATGATGTGCAACAACACTTCTGTGTTTACACGTGCCTGGCATACGGCAAGCAGAAACCTCCTCTCTGTCTTCCTCCATCAAAATAGGTACCTATAGTTAAGAAGTAAAAAGGTCATTTACTCCCCCGATACATCTGCTCTCCAAAATACCATGGCGTAATCAATCAAGAGACAATCAGGATGCAGACACACAAACTGCATGTTGCTAACATTGTACACACTGTCCTCTAGTGAGACCCTCCTTTCCGCTCACACAACCATCTCAGGTTCCCCCAGCGTTCCTACATGTTGACCCCTCTCAGCCCATGGCCGTCACCATGTTAGAGTGGTGCGGGTGCCCGAAGGAGTGGTGTATGGGGGTGGGCGTGGGAAGCATGTGTCCAGCGTGGCTGAAAGGCGCTAGGTGGCTCATGGACATGTGTCCGGCCAGAGAGCTGAAGGGAGAGCTCTTGTCGTGCAGGCTTTTGGAAAACTCCTCGTAGCTATCGCAGCCCCGTCTGCTTTTTTTGGATTTGTTTGACATTTTCCGGTTGCGTGTCTGTATTCCCTCCTTTTTCATGGTCATAGGCCGGTTCACCTGTGTAGAGAGGGAGAAGTGAAGGAGTGAGTGGTGTTGTAAGGTTTCGAGGGAAAGTTAAAATCCAGAAATTGTACATTTTATAGATTTTTTTTTAAATATCTGAGCTATTTTGTTGTCCTTGAAGGAAAACCAATATCTATATTTGTGTTATCTATGTCAACAAATACCAAGAAAAGACAAAATCCAACTATGTATGAGTCCCTCTCTTGCTTTCCGACTTCCTCTAAGTCTCCATATCCATCGGCTCCTACAGTATGACGTTAGTCATTCTTTAAAATTGAGTTAGTATGCCTATGCAGTATATTTTCAAATATTATAAAGTGTAAGTGTTGTCCAAAAACAGCTTGGTACTGTAGTTTGTAGCAAACGTGACTCAAAAAGAATTAAATAGTGCAATTGTGGGCACTACTTTGAGCTGCAGATTGATAAATATTTGGTGCTCTATAAAGCATATCTGACACCAGAATGGTGTGTGTGTAACTGTGACGCTCATGGGTGTGTTTTTTGTTGTTTTTATAGTTTTTGGTCTGGAAATAGAATTATGGCATGCTTTGGATGCATAAAGATTTATTTATTTTTTAGTATTTGATAAAGGATTTGTTTACAATAGGAAAAATATGAAATCCTCACATTCATTCGTACATCTACATGTATTGTAATCCCTCCAGCCCTAATGCTATTCATATGGACCCTAATGGCAGTCCCTCTCAACAACAGTCCCACCATTGTGACCCTCAAGGGGATTACGCCTACCATGGAAACAATAAAGCACAAAGAAAGAAAACACCAACGAGTCCGCAACAGTGTCTGAGAGTAAAACAGCCTCCCCTCTCTCCCTCTCTCTCCCTCTCGTTTCTGCCTCTCTTATCCTTCAACAATCAGTGTGACCTGCCTGCCTACTTCCCTTCTACTTGACCCTGACAGGGCCCAACTTTGCGATCAGCAGTCAAAGACTTACGTTATGCAGTTTATAGTAGAGGCCGCAGGCATTGCACACTGGGTCTCCATTTGCATTGCGCCGCCAGAGTGTGGTGGTGGTCGTCTGGCAGTTAGCACAACAGGTGCCTGCTCGTCTGGCAGCAGACTGTGGAAAGATTCAAGCTTTGATTAGAGCTCAACCGAACAACAGCGAGGTTCACTTCAAGAATACATGCATTGTACAGAATTTGCAATATATATTGGAAAATAACATTTTATAACATTAGGGACACAAATTATAGTTATAAATATATATAAATATATTTGTTTTTATTATTATTATTCATTGTTGGACCATTACAATTTCCCAGATAAAATGGTTTCCCAATGCGGTGCCATCATAAACTGGTACAAAACTGAAAATATTTACATGTGAGAAGCCAAAACCAATAAATCTTAAACGATTAATTGATTTTTACAATAGTTGCTAGTTCATTTTACTATGGAGTGTCACATCACTAATCAATCCAATCAAATTGTTGATTTAAAGACATTGAGTTTGTGGGAGACAGTAGATTTCAAATGAATTAATTTACATTCAGACAGCTCTCAGTAGTGTCCTGTTTAAAGATGCTGAGAGGAGTCCTAACTGCCGGAGGGTTTTTTAATCATCATTATTTGATGCTTTAATTGTGTTAGGTGTAATTTCCAGGAAGTTACAAGATCATTAACTGAGTCAAAAATGTTCTAATCAATTTATTATCTTACAAAACATGAAATAACCTGTATTGTTATAATCACTATCCCCAAGGGTTTGGTTTCTCTGAAACGCAAGTGCCCAGTCTTAGGTCAAACCTCAGCTTCCATAACTTTCCCAATCCCCTTTTTTTCAAAATGATTAACTGAGCTGTGCTTTCCCTGTTATGGACAGAGAGCTTGACCACTATGAGGGGAGGTCTGTGCCTATAGTTAGGAGTCCGCAGCAGGAAGCAGGCGCTGGCCCCGCTGCTTTATCTGGACCGGTCAGATATCCGGATAGGAAACCACTGCAGGGCTGCGCTGAGCACAGACTCTGCAGCCCTGCGAGCTCCAGCCGAGCCGCACGGAAACAGGCCTGATATATGGCTGTAGTATATACTATTAGAGCTAGCAGACACTGGAATAAAACGCTCGTATATTTTGTGTTGGACACTCAGCTGTTTGCATTCACGGTCTGCAGGTCAGCATCGATAGATTTATAAATGCTTCTCGCAGCGATGTAGACTCACATCATCCCGCATGCGTCAACAATCAGACTCCGGTCGAGTGAATACAAAAAACAAATGTTCTCAAACTAGTCGTTAAGGTTGATCTTAAATTATGATAACACTATTCACAACATAATGTTTGTTTTTTTCGGGTAGTCTTAACTCCTTTTTAACCGGTGCCTTTTCTCGATTGACCGTTTTCTCCTTGAGTGAGTATAGCGCACTTTGGTGCGTCTGCACATCAGATTATAAATGAGTTCCAAACGCTGCTTTTCTTATTGTTGTCTCGTCTATTCCAACTCCATTTGTCCAGGATTCCTTCATAGTATTATCATTTTTAAACCATTTCCATAAGTCCCCTTTTTAAAGGTCTGATGGGCGACTGCACAATATTAAAGGCTAAACACAAAATACACTGATTTGATGATCATTGTGTTTTCAAAGCTGCCATTTAGGCCTACTGCACATGGTTACAGTGCTGCATATTATTTCGAAATTATTATGAGAATGACCAAAAAGTAGGAATAATTATTTTATTTAGTCTATTATTTCCCCCAAGGTCCAAACCATGTCAAAAATGATCATGCAACAAAATGCATTTAAATAGTTGCTTCATGCATGACTTTAAGGTATTTCATTAAAACAGATTTCCTCCCCTAACAATGTGACTCCCCGAACTATGTTAGGTTATGTATTGCATCGGCTTACTGTATGTGTTTAAAAGTTGAAAAGTTCTTCAGAATGATGTGACCTGAGCTGTCAGACCTACTCCCAGCAACACTGATATTTGAATCAGTTCATAATGGAAAATAACTGAAAAACTGCTCTGGCATTTTTACATTAGGACAGGCTGTCCTTAAAAAAAGAAACATCCAAAATGTCCCTCTTGTGACTATAAAAACAGCCCTGTGGCTGTGTCCAACTTTGTTACAACGTATTTTCACAAAGTCCAACGACTATTTTTGCCAAAGGTTTATTTTAACCAAACTTTAAGTAACATTTAATCACTCAGTTTATTTAAAAATGTGAACATTCAAATTTGCAGTGAGTGGTTTACACTGGACCCATACTGACTTAATCAACTCGCCCTACAAATAATAAACAAAAAAACCTGAACACAGCAGCAATATGAGCATAAGCTGTCAGCGAGGCCCTTTGTGTTTTCCAGGGATGCAGAGCTGGCCCTGCTATCAATGACATATCAGAAGCAGCAGTAATAATGATAAGAGAAACAACACAGATAGCCCCTCTCTGCTAACAGCACGAGCACGTAAGGGCAAGAGGTGAGCGAGAAGCACAATTCCTGGAAACAGTTTGGGAAAATATAACTTTCCTGGAATTGTACCTCCTCCCCCTCTCCCTCCTTCTTACACTTTTTTATTTACTGCCACCACACACACAAAACACCCACTGATGGGACTCACAAGTCGTCGTTTGGGTTTGATGAGCGGTCTGTTCTGGCCATTCATCTTGTGGTACAGCCCGCAGGCGTTGCACAGGTAGTGCCCGGTGCTGTCCCGTCTCCACAGAGGTGTAGAGGTGGCTCCGCAGTTCACACACTCACGCCCCTCTGAAGAAGAATACACAGTGATGTCTGTGAAATCAAATGTATATCTGACTGATTACAAATTCCATTTTAGGTTAAATACAATGATTTTGAGTATGGGCATGGATCTTAGTGGTAATTCTCTTTTCTAACTAATGTTTACATTCTCCCCTCAATAAGTTATGTGTGCATGCATGTGTGTGGGTACATTAGATTTCACAAAGCACCTTCAACACCTTCAATGATAGTCCATATTTTGTTTAACTCCAATGACTCTGTGTTTTTATTGAGAGTGAGGAGAAAGCAATGGTGTCTGAATGTTACTTGAATATACATTTAATCTGTTAGAGTTGTGCCTTATCAGAAGTACAAAACAGCTAAAAGTTGAAGAAGACTTTGCTGTACAATCAGTAAATATATTTCAACTGTGCTGCAAAACCTCTATTTCTTAAACATCATTTCAACAACAAAGCTTCACTTCTACAAATTGTACAGTATTTCTGGTAAAAACAGACTGGAGCAGTGTATATTTTATTTTTATAAAAGCAGTGCCATTTCCTTTACACAAGTAAAGAACAGCAATCATCATATGACCTATGGTAAAGTCATAAACCTACATTGCAGCAAGTTAATACCTCGGCTGTTATTTTTCTTTAAAAACAAGCTGTTAAAAGTGAGTTTATGTTATCCTGCGTTTATCTCAAACTAAACTCAATCAGGCTGGGAGACTCCTGTCTGTAATCAAAGTAGAATCAGGACAATGTATTAATGTCTTATGTAACAGAGAAGCGACTCCTAGCCTAAATACTGAGGTTCTTGGCTCTGTGCGCTGTGGATCTTCCTTTCACACCTCTGGGCTGGTTCCAGCTCGCTCTCTGCTGCAGCCAGCTCAGGCGTAATTACACAGTTACGGTTAACAAAGAGGATTATCAAAGTGGCTTTGTGGAGAGGACTGTGGAGTGCAGGCTAAGGCCTCTGCAAACATTTATAGAAAAATAAATATAAATCATTTTTTATTTATTATTCTTAAATCAATCTAAAGCAGCTTGTTGGTGCTATGCAAAGCCTGCACATAGCTGGTTTTGTTTAACATCATAGGATAAATCAACAGAAAATTAATCCGGTTACACTTTTGAATACATTAAATTGCTTAAATTGGATGTTAGAATTTTAAACAATGAATGATTTGGTATAACTGGAGAATATCCGATGACAAAAACATCTTCTCATTGGAGGTTTTGTTTTGATTGTTAAATGTATTTCCTTTGCATAATTAACATTTAATTGTCTTTGTGATAATTGTATTGTAAATAATCATTTTTTATGAATATTTACAGATTACATTTTTGAATTATAAAACCAAACGATGCATTGCTGCATACAAAATAAACTTTGCACCATGGTATTTTAGAAATTCAAGAAGTTGCATTAATTTAATTGCCACCGACTATAGCACAGCAGAACAATGATAAGATCTTTGAATAAACTCGAACGCAGCTCCTAGATCCAAATACTGTCTTAATATTTTCCTGATGTCATGTATTTTTATTTTACTATTCTGTCTTTTCAGGGGACTCACCGGTGCAGGATCGTGTCTTGCCTTTGTTCCTGGAGAAGCTGGAGGATGCTCCCAGCAGACTGCCGGGGTGAAACAGGCTGCTGCCGTACTCATGCGCCGGGAGAGAGTAGGGATATGTGGGTATGGGGTGGTGGGTGGAGTGGTTCTGTGCGTTCATGGAGGCCAGGCTGTTCCTCAGCGGACTGCAGCCCTCCATCTTCATCCCCTCCGATAACGACATTTGGTATTTGATAGATTCCTTCTCGTCCATTCTGGAGGCCGGTGGAGACGCGGCCCCCAGGTCCGGTGATACGTCCTTAGGGGGAGTTGGTGGGAATGTGTACAGATGCGGGCTGGAGTGAGACGTCGGCGTTAACGAGGATGCGGAGACCGTGTTTGAGTTGCTGCTGCACGGGTACACGGCAGAGAGACCCCCGGGGGATGCAGAGCCCGGGTGGTGCAGGCTGGGCTTACTGAAGGGGCTCACGGCCCAGGCGTTGTGGTGGTGGGCAGACAGGGCTGCTTTCCCTCCGTCCAGCCAGGAGATCCCCGGGCTGTGGATGAGGTGAGGCCCCGTCAGACGAGCTGGAAAAAAGGCAAAAACAGTTGTTTATTTATATGAGAAGAAGACGTGCTGATTTAGTGTATGGTGTTTGAATGTAAATGTGAGCAACACTTGTTGATTCAATACACACACTGCCCTGGTTTAAGCGTGTCAGTAATAATAAAAATGTATTCACAAAGATAGACAATCAAACTAGTATTTCCTTATTTAAAATACGCATTTAACATAGTCCTAAATTGCACATATGCACATTTTTCGTAATGCCGCTTTTATTTTATTTTTTTACTTGGGTGGATTCCTTAAAATGTTTGATTCCAAAACATGGAAATGGAAGTTTATCAGTATAGCAGTGTATTTATACATTACGTCAGACAAATGGTTAACATTTAATTAACGCTGAAACGGCACACGTAATCTGATTGTGTTAAAAGTAGGCTACCCTACAAAATACAAATTTGAATTAAAAAAAGAAAACCCATTCAATTGTTTTCAGAATATAGGCTAACTCAAAACGCATTAGTTACAGTTGATAGTCTTCTATTTATTATTTTAAATATTAAAAATGCATTTGCTAACGTCGCGCCCTTGTGCTGCGGCTCACTCACCGTGCGCCTGGCTGTAGGTCACTCTGGCCCGGGCAGAGTTGTGGTAGTACGGGTTTCCCTGTGAGTCCAGGTGATTAAAGAAAACATCCACCTCGTCCGGAGGCAGGAGCTGGGCCGTGGGCTCCATGTAGTTGTGCCCCAGGCCGTGGTGGTGAGAGTCGGGGTGTTGTCCGTTCAGCATCGCGTGGTGATGCATCCATCGGGGCTGATCAGCAGCCACATCCATCTCTGTGGCTCTCTGTAGCGAGCTGTGCAGGGTAAACGAATATCCAGTGGGATGATCTAATATGTGTCCTTACGAGACTCTAAGTGTCCATTTACAGTTGGAGACTTTGTTTGTGTTCTTCTGACTTAAATTCCTCTCTCCTCCCGGACATCGAGTCGAGTTTGACACTGGAAACCTGCAAGAAGCATCAGATGTTACTATTTTAAATGCAGCAGTGTTGTGCACCAGTTTTTTAAACGCCCTGCTCATGTGGTGCATGTAGTGATGCAATTTAAGATTGTAAAAAAAAACAGCCCACCCATTTACTATCACATCACTCACAGCCACTACCCAATACACCAGACATGAATTACACATAATACGATGCTCCACTCATCATGAACAATAGAGTGAACAGGCTGTACCTTGCAGTGATATTTTATCCACAGCGTCCGATCAGCTCGCACCTATTTGGAAAACTATCCTCTTTTAGCTGCTGCGGGTCCTCTGCTGTAGTCGGCTGGTGTTTGTCAGAGTAAACTCCGTCCACTGGGACTTAAAGCAACACGTATAACTGTGGCTGACAGCGCGGGGCAGGCTTGTCAAGCTCCTGGGCGGAGTCTCCATTAAAGCTTTGACTCAGCCAATGGCAAAGCACCTCTGCAAAACCTCAGGCGGTTCCACACACCAGAAAACCACTAAGAGGCTTTTCTAAAACTCAAGGATAGAGACATAGCCTGGCAAATATCGTCACCTTGTTTTGGTTTATGATATTGAATGTTTTTCCGAAATATAATATACTATTCAAATAGGCTGTATAACATTCCAAAGCTTATTTTCCCAAATCCCACTGGACTAGTGTGACAATTTTTCATAATGGCACAACATGCAACCACAGAACAATTATTATACAAATAAATATAGGCTTTATGTGGTATAATTTTCAAAGCAATTAACACAAACACACAGCATGCTACTACCTGTCAGTAATATGCACGTCTTTAGGCATGTTTCTAGACTGCATGGAGATGCTTTAAGGACAATTCCATCAGTTTATTAAATGTTTGGGAATGTAAAATTCACCTATTAGTTGTTTAGGGTTAACATATCCACTTGTATTTAAATGAAGGGTGAGAGTGATTAGTTTCTGATTTCTGTTGGTCGAGTTCAATCTCTCTCCCTCGCGCGCATGATTGACAGACAATAATTGGAGAGGGGGCGCGTGCAGCCGACACTCCAGCCTGCTTGACGCCGTTTCATGACGTCAGTGCATCTTAGAGAGGGAAAAAAAACAGAATCAGGACATGAACTTTTTGTAGGGAGCGAGAGAGAGACGGGGGTTGCCCGGAGTCTGCTGCAGTCCCAGCGGGTGAACTCTAGGAAGGACACTGATATTTACACTTTGCTGCAGCATTAATAATATATCATAGCTGCATCCTGCTGAATCTGCTGTGATTTCGAAGAACAGGCCAACAAGCGCTGCGTGGCAAACTACTGCCAAGGTGCACACTAGCAATATATATTAGACCAATTTAGATTAGAAAAATCAGTCAGCCCAAATCAAGATGTCTTTTTTTTACAGTAAAGTTAATGCAATCTGTGCATGAACAAAACAAACCAGCTTGCTGATATGCAACACTTTTTTAATTGGATTGTAGCTCACATTGAGAAATCCAACAGGTCCTGTTCAGAAATGTGATTAAGTTTAATTCATTTTTGGGCAAAATTACGCATGGCCAAACGTTTCTGAAAATGAAATGGGCTTACCAAAAATAATACTGCTATAAATAAAAGTTATGATGGCTATTTAGCCAAATAGACTACTAAAACTCAACTGAGGATATTGACTTTGCGTCAGGTGAATCCAAGTGGACGTTTCATTTTCTTCTCTTCCTTTCCACCTTGCAGCTAACACAGCATTTAAGAAGCGATCATAAGCCCTTTTCTATTTTTCCTTATGATATGCGTATTATTAGCCACTCTGATGACTAAGAAATAAAAGTAATAATAATGAAGTTACAATGTTAAAGTGTTGTACAATAATAATAAAAACATCTAAAGAAACCCAAATGTGTCTGTCTGTCTGTCTCTATCTCTATCTATCTATCGTGGTGTTTTCTTATTGTTTTCTTATACGTACATTATTTATTTAATTACAACTGCCCTTAATGCTGCATGGTGAGCAACAATGTAAATCATATTTATTATATTTAGATGGATCTGTTCTTTGTCAGATTGCAACTGAATGTCTTTATTTACATAAACAACAATGTCTTTCCAGCGGTATTAAGAGGAGATCTACCGTATAGTGTGAAGAAAGCGGAACACACTGGAGGGACAAGTGTGCAGCATTAGAGCTCATCAGCATGATAATGTGGAAATACATGCTTTGAGTGTGAGCCCTTTTGATCTGGCGTGGCGATAAAACCTTATCGGCGACGAACATCCACTTCCATTTTAGGATTTGACATTAATTCAATCCGCCTTTCTTTTTTTTACTGCTCTTTTTCTCACACGAGAGCAGGAGAAAGAGAGAGGTCGCAGGCCGATTCAGCTCTGAGAATCTCATTATAGAACTGCCGCTGAAAGGAAGTGGTTTTACCTCATAATAAAGATAAAAATGAAATTTCACTATGGTATATTAGACAAAAAGGGACAAACGATAGCTTAAGTAATATAGACGTTTATTATTATAGTACTTGTATTTTAATGAAAGCAGAAATAAATATGAAGTATGGTTTATAATAGCCTATAGTACTTTTATTTTTTTGATATTATTTTATTTACACAAGGCTAGGACTTTTATTATTATTGTAACTAAGTGTATCACAATAATAATGTTCTGCACTGAGCTCCTTATTGACGTTGTGTGTGTGTGTGTGTGTGTGTGTGTGTGTGTGTGTGTGTGTGTGTGTGTGTGTGTGCGCGTGTGCGTGCGTGCGTGTGTGTGTGTGTGGTGTGTGTGTGTGCGTGCGTGCGTGTGTGTGTGTGTGTGTGTGTGTGTGTGTGTGTGTGTGTGTGTGTGTGTGTGTGTGTGTGTGTGTGTGTGTGTGTGTGTGTGTGTGTGTGTAGTCGCTCCCCCAGATTGAAAGAGAAATCCAATGCTGGTGAGATCCTTGGGTCCCACTGATTATAACCCATCCCGGGGTAATTTTTCATCGGTGCTGGCTAATCTTTGTTCTTTGTGAAGATAATAAATAGCCTAATCGTTATCAGCGAGCTGCTGAAGGTGTCGGGGAGAATGGGGGCTGATCGGCCCGGGGAATAGGCTCTAAAGTGCCGCGGAATAAATGGCATTTCTTATCTCTCTCTCCCAGATTATCGCCGCCTTTTCAAACTCGCACAACAAATACATCTAATGCAGGGAATGCATCATTTACTGGAGCAGATCTGTGTAAATGATAGATAGAAAGATTAGAGGGAGGGGGCATGGTGGGGGGGAGAGGATGGTTTTGGCTATTATTTACAAGTTTAATGTCCTGCATGTGCAAAGTCTTTATTCGATGTATTTAGACAGCATAAATATAGCTCGCTTATACCATTATTGTTTAAGGTTATCTGCGTGAGCCATCTGAGGGTTCCGGTTCTTTGTTGTGGATCTTATTTCTTTCATGTTGGATTTTACTGGATAAGAGTTAAACAGACGCAGCCGCTTATACCTAGGGAGAACAATATATTTGAATAATGTTTTCATCTGTTGGAAATTTTGTAAATGCGAGAAAGCGTGATGAAACCACGGGTGTAAAGCGGTTTGGATACTAACAGGCCATGATGGATTTGCTGGATATTTTAAACTCATATGCTATGAGAAGTTTGGTATTTAGTTTATTTTCATTTTTGTAATCATGGAATAAATCTGGTTGCACGTTATTGTGCACTTGTAAATAGCCTGAAGATGATTTGATAAAACCAATGACCAACGTTTTCCAAATGTGTTATTATATTTCATAATGCCAGCTCTTGTTTTATTTTTCAAAACCTCTAGACCAAAATGTACTTTTCAGAAAACTTGAATTTCCTTTTCTGGTTAGTCTTGAACAAAGGCACACATAAAGAGTTAAATAAAAGGTTAACATGTTGACATTCTTTCTCCCACACAAAAACTGTATTTGCCGGCTTCACACAAAGATAAAAACATAAAGATGTCTTGTTATGCTCAAAGAAAGAGGAGTAGCCTTTTCATTGTAAGAATTGTGCACGTGTGTGGGGAGTGACCAGTTATGGCAGAAAATGTATTTTCCATTATATACAAACTGGATGCTTAATAACTTGGCAGCTGCAGCAGCCCTGGGTGCTGCTGATGGTCTCCAGGGTAACAGAGATAACAGCACAGTCATTTTCCATATCTTACAGTCTATTATATTCAAGGATTAGTTCTCCTTCCCGAAAAGGTCAAACATAAAGTCAAGCAACCAGGAGTGCTCCTTCTCCCCCTCCTCCTTCATCAGTGACGGAGCATTTCCCATTTTCTTTATATTATCTAGTTAAACTAGTGTATTAACCTTTGCTGTCATGCTTTGATAGATGGAGACCTCCCACAGAAGACATCAAACTGCCCTGCGATTTCCTCTAATATTAGCACTCATGTGTTAGTGGTGAACAGCAATTTTTGATGGTTAACCATCACTTTGCACTTTAATTTCATTACTCCTGTTACACTTGTAAAATCCAAATTCCCTTACCTCTTTTATTCACTGTGACAGACATATTGATTTTTGAAAACAGACAAACAAACAAAATGATAAATTGTATAATAGCTAGACCAGTGCAAGGATGTGCTGTGCTTTCATCCCAGATCATATCCAAAGATTTAGGATTTTCTCTGGTAGGGGTATAGGGCCGAATTCACAAAACTCCCATAAGAGTAAGTAGACGTATGAGCATGCATGCCTTATGGCATTGATGCACCAAAGCATATAGTAAATATCTTATTTTTAAAAAATACAACAATAATATGTTTGAGAGCTGGTGATTCAATAAATCAAATCAACTCAAAAGTCAAAACAATGAAATGACGTCAGAGATTATAGTTTACTCCCCTTTTTTTATGTGCTGATGAATTTACATATTGTCTCTGAGAATACTTCCACCAAAAAATTATATTTGTCTGACAATGTTTTTAATGGCACAATAAAATATTCACTAAATTAAAACATAAACAAAGCTGATTTCATGCCCATCTAAAGGTAACCTTTAGAGTATGTAGAATAACCCCATCTAATTTGTTATTTTATTTAACCTGATTCAACAAAATCTCAATCTGATTCAAATGTTAATTAATAAAAACATATAAAAAAGTTTTGCTATTTTTTTAATTCTGATTAAATAAATAAAAACATGATAAATAAAACGGAAGCAATTAAATTTTTATTAACATTTAAAATGATATTTTCATGATTTAATTTATTTGTATTTGTCATAAAGTTTCATCTGATTTGAATAATTTTTACATTTTATCTAACATTCTGACTCCCCTATGCGCCATGCAGTCACTGTAGTGATAGGGATATATAATAGTATGATGAGTAAATCCATTCAGGAACT